TTTTTTGGTCTGAGAGTTAAACAAGAGCTTTACAATTTATTTGTCTAGTCGTTATCTTTTATTTTATCGATTTCTTTGTCCTTCTTTACCATTGAGGAATTCCTTATAAATACACTTTATTAACCCCTGAGGTGAAAAGACAGGTGTTATTAGTTTGACCGCTGTCTGTCTGTCTGTCTGTCTGCCTGCCTGCCTGTGGCGCCGTAGTCCTTAAAGATGGTGCGTTTTTTTTAAATTTAGAAGCAAGTTTTTAAATCGGTGGTTTTTAGACATGTTTTATCAAACTCGAATCAGTCGTCTCAAGGTCATCAACTGCTTTTTCGGTTTGTTTTTTATATTTTAAATTTAAGTTATTTAATGGTGTTTTTGCACAATGCACATTAAATAAAAAGTTGCAATAATTGTTAATGTACAATATTAAACTTTTATTTGAGATGAAATATTCAATTGCGCTGTCTTTTCCCGCCTTTATTAATAATTTTCACTTTTAGGCTAAGAGTCGAAGTAGTGTTGAACTATAATATTATGTCATTAAATGTTCTCGCTTTCATGGTTAATTAGTGAGGTTCGTCTATCCGCCTGAGAATGGCCCAATCTGTTTTATAATCATAGTGCAAATGTAAATTTTATTAACTTATTAATTATAAGTTTATTGTAAGATCATTCCTGAACCTAAGATGTAATTAGTAGATTTTACTGTGATGTCGGTCTCAATGGTCAATAGGTATTAATAATTATTATAGTATCAATTATTATAAATAGATAGATTATTGTTATTGTTAAGGATCTCATGTATCACTTAGGATGGGATTTGCGGGATTCTGGAATATTCAGAATTTTGGTTTTACTTTCTTTTCATTTTACAATGTTTTTTTTTTTTAATGAAATTTGTAATTTTACATATTATAAAAACATTTGTTTTTACAACTTGTATTAATTTATGAGTAACATCACTATATGTGTAATTGGGTAGCATATTATAAAATGAAGTTTACTGATCTTACGATTATCCCTTGTATTGACAAATCTGCAATAAATTTGCTTTCTGTTACAGCTATAAAAACCAATTTTAAACGATAGAAACATTCCAGAGCGATTGTTAACACTGTTTAACTTTAGGACCAATTTTTGAATGTTCTTTTGAAAATAATATTGTATATTGAGTATAGTAATTTTATTTAATTCCACCTACATTTATCTGGAATTCTTTTTAAGAAGCATACATACCTAATGTGCAACTTCAGTGATTTTTCTCTTCTTCTGTGTCATTAAGAAAAGTGGGGGTATAAGTAATATAGCGCTTTATGCCCAGCTCGTTAAGTCCACTGCTAAATATGATGAAGCAATCTTAGAGGCATAGGCCTCCCATATAGATTGCTTCATAGTGGGGATATTTGTCATAGTTGCCACGCTTGGTAGAATCATAATGAAGATACCTGAATTGTGTTCTTTCTACTATAGAGTATAATAGAAACACCTAATACAATATTTATATATAAAGGCCTCTTTTCAAACTTTTGCCGCCCAGCGAATTTTGTCACCCTTAGGCCCCGGTCTCCTGTGACAACACCTAAATCCGATATTGCATAACATGAAAACCTGCGGACCGTCTTCAGTTGTTAGGGGTTGAATTCTCTCCGAACCTCAACTATGGGCGGTTCATTGAGTCCAGAGCCAAAACAGCCGCAAGTAACCTAGGTATCCTTGCAAGGGTGCGGCGGTACTTCACGCCGGGCAGCTTCTTACCTTATATAAAGCGTAAGTCCGGTCGTGCTTGGAGTAATGCTGTCACATATGGGCTGGTGCTGCAAAATGCCACCTGGCAGCGTTTGACTCAGTGGAGAGACGTACTAAAAGGCTCATTGGTGACCTTATAAATTATATGCTTTGATTCCTCCATCTCCATTCCACCATCGGACAACCAGACGGTCGGCGGGTCATCATCCCTTTGTTGTCGATATTCCACGCATTAGAACCAAACGATTTCTTTCTTCTTTTGTAATGCGTACAGTAAAGGAATGGAATAATTTGCCGGCATCTATGTTTCCGTCCGAATACAATCTGGGCGTGTTCAAGGCAAGAGTGAATAGGCTTTTGTTACGCTAAGACAGTGCGATTTCCTATCTAAGGCTGCATCACCACTTACCACCAGGTGGGATTGTGGTCAAGCAATGGCTTATAAAAAAAAAACGGTGGTGATATCCATGAAACACTGTATCTGTAGGAGTATGTATTTCGAATTGCATATTGGGTGAGCTTATCTATCAAATCTACCACGATGAGGGCGCGTTTCAACGACACGCACCCGCTACGCGCACGCCACGCGTGTCAGCACCCGCGTCTAACTCGCTTTGAAATATCAATAAATTTGAAATTGTATAAAAAACGCGTGTGCGGGAACGAGGCGAGCGCGTGGCGTGTGCGAGGCGGATGCGGTTGAACGTCGATAAATGCAATTTCAGATTTATTGATTTGTCATAAGACTCAAATTATATGCAACAAATTTCAACTTACTACCCCATGACACCTTATTTTCGACTTAACTGCGCAATAACGGTCACCGCTATACTTACGTGTCGCTACTTATTGGTACAGACATTTTAGAAATCATTGAAAAAAAAAATCATTGCGTAGTTGCAAATTCTAATAGGGGCATCTGATAGCTGTAAATTGTTTACCTTTACAGCCTATTAAAGTCCATTCCACATCATAGCCCTCTCCATACATTGCATTATATTTGCCATAGTTGTTACGCTTGGCAAGTGGGTTGGCAGCAGCAGTTTTTTTTATTTTTAGTCATTATTAGGAAGACTGTGCTGCCATCTCCAAATTTGTTTCCCTCTGTCGCCTCTTACACACCTACGGGATGATATGGGGTAATGGATATTCGTGCACAGCCACTAGCTACACGAATATTTAAAATTAGTTGTCATTTTTAGATAAAGAGCTTCAGCTCAGCTCTACAGATGATTTGGTAGGACTACACGTTAATTAACCAAATTTAAATCATAAAATTTATAGTAAACACATTTTAATTGCTTAATTTTGTTTTCGTTCGATTTTATTTTACAAGTAATATATGTATTACAAAAAATATATAAATGGGTTACAAAGTTGTATATAAAAGAAATATCCGCAAATTTTCGAATTAATGACATAATGAATATAATACAAGATCCATCAAGACATCCAGACAAATTAAACACACAAAAAATATGTTATATTAAGTAAATTCAAGAAGAATGCATAATATTATATGACTATAACTCATAGACCAACACGGACCAACCGGGGAGGAGTAGCCATAGCGTTTTTCAGAAGTGTCATTTTTGCGGGGGGAACTCTGCGCACACAAAAACAATTATCTGTCACTATGAAACTCACGCATAACAATAAAAAGAATAAACTAACAATTTCACACACACATAGATACATTATAACAGTATCGGTCGGTCGACAACTCGGATCAGTCGCTCGACCGATCTGCATATTGTATGAGGGTGAGCGGCCCATGTTGGTAAACAAATCCATAGCAACACACGGGCTATTTTGAATAATAGCAGTCGTGTTGTGTATAAACTGTATTATAGCTGTCAAGGTTCAAGATTGATTAACTTCAAGCAGAGGCGGATTAAATGTTGACAGCGCCCTAGGCTAGCACCTCACCGGCGCGGCGCCCCTCTAGCGGCCATATATTATAATTTATAATATAATTTAATAGTTGCAAAATAATTAGGACAAAAGTACCCTCAACAGGTGGGCGTGAATGAAAAATGTGAAGAGACAGTGGGGGGCGATGTATGAGTATCAAATAGACTTTTTTTTTTCATTTAAAATGTTGCCCCTCTCGCGCCCCTTTTAAACCAAGCGCCTCTAGGCACGTGTCTAGTTTTCCTTAAGGATAATCCGCCACTGGCTTCAAGAATCTCACCATTAAAGGTAAGTAATCCATTTGGTGTAACACAACCATTAAAAAAGATTTTCGTTTTAACACGAGAATTTAAAATCATTTTGACCTCGGAATAATTTGTTTCATTTCTCTTAGTATAGGTATCATTCTGTGTTTTTTTTAAGAATTGCAGTTATCTATAACCCTGTTGCCGGATGCCAGGGTCGTATTCAGGCCACTTACGTACTAAGCAATATAAAAACCCAGACCCTATACTACTAAAACTTTATAATTATTAAACTTAATACAATATACTAGAATGACAACTTTCAAGAGCTTCATTATTATTAAATAAAATACTTTAATCCTATATCTCTATTAAAAACAATAAAAATAGTACAAATTATTCCGTGGAGATAATTTTTACACCATAAAATCAATCGTTACATATTTTACAGCTCAATTTTAACAAGCCGCTGTATAGTGACTGACATTTTTTGTGTCATTACTGTGAAAAGTTCACAAATGGTATTTGGTATTTTCATTGTGACTCGTAGGGTTGTACTTGTGCCAGTGTCAAGTAATAAGAAAGTATAATTTTTTTTAAACCTCTTCACAATATATTCATGCATCCCAAAAACTTTTCAATGCAACCCATGTAATGTAATGTAACCATTGCGAAGTTTTTGGGAGATTTTGACGGCTTGACTTAGCAGACAGTTGATGACAATAGGATCTCAAGGCGTCTTAGCAGAGAAAAACTTAACTATTTCACTAACAGTTCACACAAAATTTCACCGGTTTTACGTATCAATATCCACTTCAAACTATTAATTATACAATAAAACAAGAGCAGCAATCCGTCGGCGGTCAAGTTCCCGCCAAAACTCTGACAGATGGTGGAAGGATTTCAAGAGATAATTTTTAACGCTATTCTTTTCAACACATGAAAAACTGGCCAGCATAAACTATTGCCATACTGCAGCTCATTAAAATTTTTTTTTCCTTAATGTAACATCTACCACATAATTGAATCTGCTTGATGCTTATACAAATAATCAGAGAATTGCTCCAGTTTCATCTCTAATGCATTTATCTCCACGGCTAATTCTCATACAATTTCATTTGATTTTCCTTGAAAAATTTTCGGATTGCGTACTCTTGGGCTGTAGTAATTGTTGGGTTGAATGTACTTAGAAGTGATCGGCGAATCGTGAGCCGCCGTAATTTTTCTGTTGTAAATATTTTGATTGGTTTTGTTATCCGTGTTCTTCATGATATAAGATCGTATATACTGCCTGTGTTTTCGCAAACGAATGCATGAGAATACGGTGCTCAATAGAATGCCAAGTTTAAAAATTGCCATCACAAACAAGGCTAGCATAAAAATTATATACTGCTCTTGATACCAGTCTTCGAGTTTTCCCAAACAGCCCTGAAACAATATTGATCATTATTAGTTCAAATTAATTACAAACCTAAATATTTAAACCCGAACCAGTGCTACACCCCATACTTTTACTCATAACAGTAAATAACTAAATAAAATACAAATTGGTACAAATAATTCCTTAAGGCCGTGGTATCTCAGATGGTTAGTACTCGCTGGAAGTTTCACAATACGCGAGTAATCCGGGTTCGATCCCCGCCGACACCAATGAAATTGTTAATTGCAATTTTAAGTGCTGATTTACCACGTGCTCGGCGGTGAAGTTACACACGTGAGGAAATCTGCATGTCTGAGAAATAAGAAAAAAAATATTTCGAAGACATGTAAAGTTCGCCAACACGCATTGGGGCAGCTAAAACCCCCTCAGAAATGAGAGGAGCCTGTGGCCCAGTTGTGGGATGTATATAGGCTGTAAATTTCATTTTTAAATAATCCCTTAAGGCTGTCCATAAAGCAAAGTCACACAAAGTAGAATTGAATTTCACTATAGAAAATCTAGTCCATAACTGAAAACAAAGATATCTAAAGATAATTCATTATAATTCTAAGTGCTGTAATTTTTCAAAACACATACTAATGTACTAATACCTAACTTGCTTTATTCCGAGAATTACCTATCATGTTTATAAATTGAATAGAGGATTGAGAAAAATCTTATTTTAAACTTGTAGTGATAGCATAAGAGAATTCATTACCACAATTCACTCCGTGGGTATCGTTCGAGGCGATAACAACTCAAAATACTAAAAGACTACCGTTGCCTGCCAAGCATGGTAACTATGATGCCGGGTTTACACGCTTGCCAAGTCGCGGCAAGCATCCACAAGCACAAGCGTGTAAAGAGGGCGTTTGGCTTGGCTTGCGTGAGCTTGTGGACGCTTGTCTCCGATCCGGGCTAGTGTCAGTTTGTGGACACAGATCAAAGGGCGCTTGCGGCAAGCGCTTGCAACGCATTCACACGTTGGTGCGCGTTTAGTAGAAATTGTGATTTCGCGACGAGCGCATGTTTAGTTCTTTGTTTAAAAGGAGTGGCTGCTCGAACGAAGAAAGTTTATCGTTTCTGGAATATTACCAGAGCGAATCGTCTATCTGGTACCCCAAAGTCGTTAATAATAAAAATAAAAAGAAAGTTGCAGATCCTTGGAGTCGTCTTGCCGAGTTAACGGGAAAGCCAGTAAAAGAATTAAAAGCCAAAAAATTCCTTGTTTTTGTATTACTTTGCTTGTATTTCAAATAAAAGTATGTTAAACCAAACACAATAGCCGACACAAGTTCGGTGTCCGCCATGCTTGGATGTACGTAGCACACTGACGCATTTACAAGCATGAAAACGACTTCCAAACGCCAAACGAGATTTGTGAACGCTTGGGGTTTGAAGACGTTTGCCAAAGCTTGGCAAGCATGGAAAGGCACCATTACAGATATAGACGTAAACGCAATCAATGGGGAGGCCTATGTACAGCAGTGGTCTTTTGTTCGGCTGTAATGAAAAAAGAATGAAACAATTATTAAATACTAGCGATTCGCCTCGGCTTCGCACGGGTACATTCTGGATCTCGACAACAGCGCCACCTACCGGTACTAATTGGTGAACCTAAACCATCCAGGTATCCACTCAAACACACACACAAAATTTATCAAGATCGTTCGAGTCGTTTTCGAGTTTTAACGATACTAAAGGACAGCAATAGATTTTAATATAGATTTATTTACTTTTGGCTAAATAGTATACGTATGTATTTCAGGAAAGGAAAATCTACTAATCACAGGATGAAGCACTAATTAAGCGATTACTGATAAGCCATAGCCAAGCCGGCTGCCACAACAACTGCATTCCTAACCTTATCCCCCCGTATTGCTACGCTTATCTGTTTGAAAATGTACTTACGGAAAACTTCTCTCCGTTTTTGCTCATTTCGCTCTGCTTAAAGCTAAAAAACATGCGTAAGTGTCGTGGAACACTCAGTTGGAACGAAGTTCTTTTCGTGGTATATTATTATTGATAAACGTATTAAATTATTGATTAAAAAATACAAACAAATGAATTACTAGCGTCTATTGAAATAAAATAATATTTATTTCATGGCAAGATAAGAAAAAGTGCGAGGAAGATGGATATTATTCCATCTCGCTTCCTTATAGCCGCCAAAGCCGTCTACACTACGTCAGAAGAGGTCGTGACTGAAAAATCTTACACTTTTTCTCGCCGAGCCCCCATCCGTCAAATTCGTACCGTCGGATAAGAAACTTCCTTCCAACAAGACAAGTTATCGATTAAGTGTTTCCTTACCGGTGCATGCCTGTATGGTGGATTGGGTTGTATATCCTGGCAGCGAGACTGATTGACGGGCATGGGATTAAGGTATGAAACGTCTTCGGTTATCTGTACGCAGCAACTCAACGGGACCGATAAGCCACGAGGACCAAGTCTTCGGAGTTGCCATACCGACATGTCGTAATTACGCGCGTCACTCATCCCGCAGCACTGCAACTGTAATTATTAATGTATAATATAAAAATATATAATGTAAAAATATATATGTTTTTAATATATATATGTTTTTTTAATCAGAAAGTACCTTACAATGTGTACTATCATATAATGAAATGAAAAATCTTTTTTTTTCTTCGACGCAAGTAATTTAAATTTCATTCCATCATATTTCAGGCTAATACCGTAAGGAATAATAGGAACTTAAATAGGGCAATGTAAACTTTTACTTCAAATGATAATTTTACCGCGAGCAACCAGGCTTCGATCCCCGCCTGCACCAACCAAGGTGTTAATTGCAATTTTAAGTGCTAATTCAACTCCGCGATGAATCTATTTAATTGTTCTTTATCAGTCCAAAGAATTCACAGCTACCCTAGGTGTAGTGTGAATTCTTTTCTTCACATTTAAGGAGGGTTTGCCTTGATTGTCATGCTTACCAGGCGAACTGACGATCACAGAACCAGACACCTCGCACTTTGAAGCTGGTGCCTGTCTTTGGTTAAACCGCCATCTAACGGACGCTATAACATCTTTCTGGTATTTCTCATAGTCGTCTTTTACGACACTTCCGGAACAAAATTTGGTAATAATTCTCTTAATTTTTTTTTTTTAATTTTATTAGGCTATATTTTATTTTTTCGTAACAGATCGAAGACTGATAACACGAAGTAACTTACGTATGTCTGGGCAAGATCTACTGCAGCTGTAAATTCTTCATAATCGGGGACTGCGTAATAAGCTTGCAAGGCGCCAACGGCTCCTCCTCTAGCGCTCTGTAGCCCCACACATCGCGGCCATATTGCTGCCAGAACCCCGCCCGCACATTCGCATAGTAGTAGCGATAACACTACCAAGAAATACTGGAATATCCAACGTTAGATTTCATTATTGAAGTTATACTTCTTTTGGCGCGTTTGAGAAAAATTCACACCGACACCTAAAAACGACACCATGAAGTTGTTCTGAACTGATAACTATATTCAAGATAGTTATTCAAATATATATGAACCTATAAAACGTATTTTATTTTAGTTACCTATTTTTGTTTTGTTTTGCACGCTAAAGAAGTATAACTTCTTACTCGCGAACATAAGTACACACACACGTTTTTTTTAATTAGTGTTACTTAACAAAATAGTAAATAAACAAGAAATTTGGATAAAAAATACAAGTATGTATTGATTTTTAATTTTATATTTTTATTTTACAACTAGCAATCCGCTCCGGCTTCGCAATGGTGATTTCTAGATCTCGGCAACCTGCCGAGTCTATATGATAATCTAAACCATCTAGGGAATCACACAAAAAAATTCATCAAAATCGGTCGAGCCGTTTTTGAGTTTTAGCGAGACTAACGGACAGCAATTGATTTTTATATATAAGAGATATAGTAAACGAAGTATAAAGAGCTTCCACCATTTTCTTATTTTTTCTTTTTTACTATCACATTGCACATGGGCAAACATCCAGACCCGGAACGACAATTTATACGTCATCAAACAATTGTTCCGTGCGGGAATCAAAACCGTTTGCGTTTGCGCTAACTAGCCGTTACCACTTAGGCATACCGCTCATGACACCACGGACTATGCCCCGGGTAAAATTTTAATACATAATACAATAACTGTTTTAGTGAATTTAATTAATAAATTTAAGAAATCACAATTTAAAGTATTTATAAAAAATCTATTATTTTTGACTCCATAGTTTTAATAAATTAATATAATATTCTTATATCAGCAATATCAGTAACGGACTTCATATCGAGAAAATCTATTAATGAAAACGTATTACATATTTGTGACACGACGAATAGCATTATATTAATAAATATTAATTTCAGCATATCATAAGTCCACTGGCACAGGTTTACTGAACACAGTGTCTCATAAGGAGGATATTTGCCTTAGTTCCCACGTTTGGCAGGCGGATTGGTAACCCCGCAGCTTTTCCTATGTCTTGTTTCCCTTTCTCTATTGCCTCTAGACACCTACGGGATGATATGGGGTGGTGATTGGTGAATTCCCTGACGTGACGCCGCCTCTGTACAACGTAATAGATAGTGATATTTATTAAATTTCACGCGAAAATGCTGAAAGTTCTGCCTGGATTTTCTTCAACATACCACACCGATGTTCATCAAAATAAAACTTTAAAGAAAGAAAACGAGTTTGTTTAGTAACACGTTAATAACAGTTTAACAAGAACTCCGTAAATTTTTTATTTTCGTCACCAATTTATAGAAAAATAAAATTGTGCTATTTAATTGTGGTGTTACAGTATTGGTACAGGTGCGGGTAGAGTATGTTAATTAGGATTTAATACTTTTCGCTCTTATTCAATTGTTCGATCTACGTCCTTAAGGCTGCATCGCGTGTAAATTTGAAAAATGGTATAGTCCCTACCCTACACCCTTAGTTCTAGAAGTATTTTACTTCTTATATTGTCTTGTCTTATATCGTATTCTTGATGAAAACATCAGTACGTAAAAGTCAAAGTCTGACATGGCCACTCCCTCAGTTGGAAAGATTTAGTTTCATAGCCCCTCGCTAATGGATTAATATCTAGTGATCACAGTACTAAACTTCTAAATACATTTAACGCAAATGCCCGTTGCCGGACAAGCGTAAAGCAAATCCTCCCAACTATGGAAGAGGTACATGTCCAGCAGTGGATTCATAGGGGCCGATAAAAAAGTTAGGTATATTTTTGTGCAATTGAAGGTGATCGAGGATACGTAACTTTTTTAGCCCGATTAGTTAGATGCAATTTAATCATAACATTCAATAAAAACTTACAATGGTCAGCAAAATATATCCAGGCATGTAAGTAGCCCATATGCCAAGCGTTGATATAAAACAAATGGTAAGACCACCGGCAAGCAATGCCAGTGCTACGTAGTAAAAAGGCGGTTCAGGCAGACCATCCTCGGGCATCGCCAAAAGCCTCGACAGTAAAATCCTCTGGGAGTCACACAATAATAGAAATCCGCATACAACTTTAGAGAAACCACATCCCTTAAAATAAAAACACCATTATATTTCAGTTCCGAATTGAATAAGTTATGTTCAATATTATCTACAATTTCTTACAAAAAATATTGTGTTACAGCATCCGAAAAGCACTTTAGCACTGGCCACATTTTTAAGTTTCATTTCTTTTGTATGTAATTTTTGCTTTTAACTTTTGCTTTCTTTTGATTCAATGAATTCTAAAATAAATTCGAATGCAACGTAACGTTTTAAAATGCAAGCGTGTTATGGTGAACAAATGTGTAAAAATGTACGATGAATAGATTTGTCAGTTTTAGGGAGATACGCTCCGATGAACAGGTGGGGTGCCTAATAATTAAGGCAGTTTTGTTTAAAATTAATGCATGAGTTACTTCCATCCTCACATACTTTAGCCAAGTTTGTTGGTCACATGATATAGATGAAAATGATAAGTTCTTTTATATAAATTAATAAAAGAAGGCCATACAAATATATATATTATTTATTATTTATAGGATAACATTTAAAATTCAATATCTTTCTTTCTAAATCCTCCACAGCTAACTGTCTTAGGTACTGCTGTAATGTCGTCTTGTTCCCGTTCACTAGACTCTTGTAGTTCTGCAATAAAATTAGAGGTATTAGCATAATATATTATTATACACTTTTTATTTTTAAATTGTGGTCGTGCAAAGTTGCTAATTTATACATCAAATATTTTCTGAAACAAACTTAGTACGTACAAAAAATTATTATACAAGTGCGTCTATGTAAATCTAAGTACAAAAATATATTGGGAAAGCTCTTTGAAAACGCAACATTCCAATAATTTGTTTAACGAGAAAATATAAACCGACTTCAAGTATCATTGGATCTCGTTAAAATTAATGGATGTTGTCTAAAATGTTCTCAAGTCACAGAAAGGCGGCATAAAAGCGTATAAATCCTAAGTCAACTAAAATGTGTGGCCTTATACAGAGTGTATAAAACCATAATGATTTCTTGAGGCAGGCTGATGAAGACTTCTCTTTCCTACTTTAAGTCCCTAAAGACGCCTCTGCTTGACATTAGGCCTCTCTACTGTTACCGTTAGTCTATTAAAGTTCACTGCTGAACATAGGCCTCCCCCATAGATTGCCTCATAGGGGGGATATTTGCCATAGTTGCCACGCTTGGCAAGCGGGTTGGCAACCGCAGTTTTTTATTTTTAGTCGTTATTAGGAAGACGCTGCTGCCCATCTCCAGATTTGTTTACCTCTACGCGGTCACTACACGGTAGCCTCTCTAATAATAAGAATGTTTAATAACCCGCACTTGGTAATCGTAGTATACGAGCAGTGGAGTAGCGTAACTTTGAGGGGCCCGGTATAAAAATTTGTCGGGGGGCCCAAATGAAGGGTAAAGATTTTTTACAAAAGGAACAAAAACTCTCGCATTGAATTAAAATAATTATATATTGATTATAAGTTATTACTTACAATTAATACTCCTAGGAACTAAGCTAGCCAAACAATTCAAACCAACATCCTGTCCTATAGAAGTTCTTAGAGTTTTTGCTTACATACGTTCGGGGCCTCTGTAGCCCGGGGGCCCCGTATCATTGATACGGCTGATACGGAGGTAGCTACGCCCCTGTATAAGAGGTCTTAAAGCCTATTCTGGTCTAGGTTTTTTACATCTTAGTGATATCTGTAGCCGGTGGAAGAAAGAGGGGAGATGTTTCGAGCTAGAGTGTGTGTAATATTTCGGAGCTATTCTATATATATACTGCTTTAATTTCGGAACTTTGTTAGCGCGATTTAGGCTTCGATGTGTTTCGCTTGTGGCGCGACGACAGCGCCGCCACATATCTTTATGCACTTCCCTATAATCAAGTGTTATACCATAGGAATGCAATGATAAAATCTATTAAGCTACTCTCACAAGGACCAGTTATGCTGATGATACTCTGAATATTGTCTTCAAAGCCTCTCATATTGTTATAAGAGTATTTATGCTTCATTATTATAGACTGTATGTCTGTGATATTTTAGGGAACGTAAGTTCTTTGTTATGATGAAAGTGGATGATGAATTTTTAAAGAATAAATGTTGTGTGTCAGCTGGGTGCTCGCTGTAATTTTCTCAGTATGCGAGTCACTGGCTTTTGATTCCCGTCGCCACAACTGAAGTTGCTAATTATTGTAGTTTTAAGAGCTGATTCACCACATGCTCGATGGGGAAGGAAAACAAAGTAATCTTCATGTTTGAGAAATTATATTTCGAGGGCATGTGAAGTCAGTCAACACGCACTCGAACAGTGCTCCGAACTCTTACCTGTTAACTCATGAGAAGAGGTCTATGCTCAAAAACTGTTAGTTTACTTTCAAATTAAAGTTATTTTACCTGGTGGTAAGTGAAGCTTTTCAATAACGAACTTTTTCCTTCTCAACTTGAATGCCATATCTAGACTGGGCGGAACAAAGGGTACAAGTGTATAAATAGCTGACAGCTTTGTTACATGAAACAAGCCGTGATAGTCACTATAAACTGGATTGGTTTCACGGCTGGAGCCAGCAAACGATTCAATTCGGACCGCATTGTCAACAGAATATAGAATTCTAGACATAAAAAGATCATCCTGAAAGCATAGCATAAATAAGAAACTTTTTAACCGACTTCAAAACAAGGAGGTACTCGACTGTTTTTTTTTTTTGTGTGTTACCACTGTACTCTTTTTTAGGTCAACCGATTTTGATGATTCTTTTTTTATTTGAAAGCTAGTGTTTTTTTTTAAATTTATTCAAGATCTGAGTTATCTTTAATAGTGCGTATTTAATTGACTTCAACTACATTGATGATGTTCTTATTTTATTTATATTGAAGTCTGTTGACCAAAACTTAAATTTTACCACTTGATGAGCAAGTGGAAGTTTATATTTCGCCAATTTTCCCTTCCGTTGTATGGAGGATTTGCCTCAATCGCCCCCCCCCCCCTCCCCCCGCTTGGCAGGCGGTTTGACGATCGCAGTAGCAGACGTCAATATACAGCATACACTGATGCTGCTGGTATTTTATAATAAAGCACATTTGGCAATAGTATGTCCTCGCTAACGATTTTCGACAACTACGAACTTCCTTCTTGTGGCTGTACGAGTTCGATTCGGTTGTTCAAAGCCGGTACGTGGCTGCCATTTGAGAACATTTCTTTCTTTCCTTTTTTTTGTATGTATAATATGTTCCACTTTTTATTGTCCTACACTATCAATGTAGCACTGGTACATCTCCACTGAAAATGAGCGTTACGGCTATTTTCAATTCGTGACTTACAACTGAGTGAAGAATTTTGGTGCATATTATGTTATTTCATTTTATTTTTTGTTAACATAAAAATTTTTTTTTTCTATCTTACCATATTTTTTAGCTCTTTGTTATAATGTATGTGCCAAAAAAAGTGGTATTTTTTCTTTTTCTTTCTTTCCCATCGGTTATCGCTTCTGCGAGCTATATGGCCGAACCATTGCCACTTCAGTTTACTGACCCGTTGGGCTAGTGCAAGTGTGCGTGGTGTAGAAGTGACAACTTGATAAGTGATGCAAGAAGCCGATGGATGCAGGTGACTCAGGAGCATACTTTATGATATTTCTTAGGGAGCACTATGTACAGCAGTGAACATGTGATTCAGCAGTGGGCTGTAATGATGACGATCAATGTGTAGGAGACCATTTTTACTACTATTGAAGTATTCTAAGCGACGACAGAGGGACTCTGAACTTTGATTTTTAATGCATCAAGATACTCACATCAAATAAATGGGAAGGGATGGTTATAAAAGCAACAGCTAACGTATCTTTGAGGATGACTCTCAGGCAGTACAAAAATTTTATCAAATCTTGCCCATAGCTACTGTCCACAGGTTCTACGTCACAGTCAAGTGCCATCCAAACTGGTGAACCTAATGACTGTATACTTATACGTAATATATTTTTGTTTTTATTACTTGTTTGAAATTCACTTTTTGACACAATATCTTTGATTTTCATTAATAACTTGTAAAACATATAATTTTTGAAACCTGGAATTAACTTTTATTATTATTTTACCCAATTTTTTAACTCAAAGCAATATTTGGGTACTATCATAAAATTACCAATTTGTTTTTCGAATTCTATATTATTATCATCATTAAGAAAGCAATATGTGACATCACTTTTTTGTATAGTTTCCTTATCAATATGCTTGCTTAAATCAAAATTATGACCAAATGTTGAATTGCTACCAAAAGATGATTCCACCTGGCCAAGGCCCTCATACCTCCAGGCTATTTTCATTTCAACATTTCTATCGTTTGGAACTGCATCTATTGCAGGATCTGTGCATGCTTGTGGTAATTCATTGACCTGAAAATATATTTATTTATACTTAACTTGTTATGCATTTTACTTGGATAAAAATAAAATACTTAAATCAGTATACTTAAGGATTTTAACCTAACTTTAAATCCATTAAAGGAAAAAGGTATCAATTTTAATCTCATACATATAACTAAAGTTGAAGTGTCTGTCAGTAATATTGTGATAACTAGTTTCACTAAGCTCAGGTGGTAATTTGCATACTATTAAGACATCAATAAACATTTTTAAAATTTTTATCTTTCTGCCTGTCTGTCCAGGCTAATAATATTCAGAATGGCTGAACTAATTGTGATGAAAATTACTAACTTTTTTTTTTATAGGATAAGGGTAACAAACGAGTACACAGTCCACCTGATGGTAAGTGGTTGCTGTGCCCCATAGACATCTACGTCTATCCTCCATTACGAATTAAAATGCAGATGCGTTGCCAACCGTGAGGACTAAGATGGAATGCCTCGTTTCCAGTAAAATGGGTCTCCGGGTCTCTATACTTACCATATGAAACACAGCAGCGTTAAACTGCTATTTTACGCTGGTATTCTGCGAGAGCGTAGTCCCTCCCCGGTCGAGCCGACCCATTCGTGCTACAACTATACTAGTAAATAGCTGCAGCATGGCTCTAACACGTGGAAAATGTGATCTAGACTATAATGTTTGATCCGAAAAACTTGGACATTTATAAAAAAAAAACTCAAAATTAATAAAAATAATGGTTTTTGATTATGTTAAATCTGAATAATGCCACGCCACATTAATAGATCTTACCCTGGCGAAGCCAAAGCGGATTGCTAATTGGAAATAACTTTGTTATTATATATTATACATTAATGTATGTATTTTAAGCATAATATGCTATTTATATTCTTCATCATTGTTACAGCCTATCAAAAGTCTACTACTAAACATAGGCCTCCCCATAAATTGCTTCATAGGGGGATATAAGGCATGCTGGCTGAGCAGGGAATAGAGAATTAGGGTAAGCTAAATTTAGTACACAATAATTAGAGTTTAATATTATACATTGGAATATATTTTGAGATCATATTCACATATATGGAATCAAAGATAGTTAAGAGGGAATTAATATTCACTGGTCGAGGGATTGTTTTGGGAAGAATGTCATATAAAGAAATTGGGTGATTTTGACAATTGAAGAAAATGTGGTCTGGGGTACCTTCATCCAGACCACATTCACAGAGGGAATGGTCTTTGATTCTAATTTTAGCTAGAAATACAGGAGTGCAGACATGCCCCAGCCTTAAACGGCAGATTGTAGATGTGATTTGTTTGTTCAAAAAGCTAAATTTAAAAAACCAGGTTTTGGAGGAATTTGGGGTTGGATTTTACCAAAGTAGCAACCTTTAATATGTCTGGATATGCTCCATTCTCTGTCCCAAGAATTCTTTAATTCAATTTGAGCTAATGACATTAGATCATGAGATTAATTCATTAAATGAAAAGGACAGCCAGTATCTACAGCTTCTTTGGCCCAAGAGTCAGCCTGTTCATTTCCTGCTATGCCACAATGACTAAGAATCCACACAATCTCTACCTCAAGCCCAATCTTATCACAATTTAGTATGAGTTCTTTAATTTTCAGTATTAATGGGGAGATGGATTTCATTTCAAATATATTGCTCTGTAACGTCATTAGGCAGCTTTTTGAATCACTAAATATAACTGACTTAGGAATTTTATGGGAAAGAATACAGTATATAGCCTCATATATGGCTACAGCTTTCCCAGTAAAAACAGAAGCCTGAATAGGACATCTATAATTAAGGACAATTTTATATTTGGGAATCCAGACTGCAGAACCAACACATTTGAATGAAGGCAATTTGGAAGCATCAGTAAAAATATATATCCAATCAGGCCATTTTATGCCACAAGGTTGTAGAAAGTTCTGTTTGCAGTTGGGGAATTTTTATTAATGTTTAAATTCAGAGTGATTTTAGGATATAGTAATACAGCTTCATAGCTGGTTTCAAAATAGGGTAGAATTAAGGATGTTACACAAGGATAACCAATATTTTTTAATATATTTCGAGATTTAAGAATAGGGGGCCAGCTTTTATTAGACCAAGAGGAGTTGTTTACAACTAATAGTAGCAAGGATTCTAGTTTACGATGTAAGGGGTGAGATGTTAGTTGTAGTGTTTTTGAGAGAAATCTATCAGTTAGAAACTGTCTTCGTAAAGAGAGAGGGGGATCAACACATTCTACTTGTAAAGCATTTTTAGGAGTTGATTTCATTGCACCTGTGATAACACGCAAACATCTTGTATGGATAACTTCAAGCCTACTAAGGGCCGATTTGTTGCAGGGCTCCAGGAGGAAAGAGCCATAGTCGAAGTGACTGTGGATGATAGCTTTGCTTAGGATTTTTTGACACATGGGGTAAGAACCCCACCATATGCCTGAAAGTGATCTAAGAATGTTAACACCTTTCTCACATTTATCACTGATGTAATTAAAGTGAGCAGTACCGGTCATATGACAATCTAAGTAAATACCTAAAAATTTTACTTTGTTAACAACTGGAATAGATTCACCAATATATTAGATATCAATAGTAGGGTTAGCACGTTTTCTACTAAAGATTATTATTTTGCTTTTAGGAGCTGAAAGTGAGAGGCCATAGTCAGTGAGCCATTGATTAAGATAATATAAGCCTATGTTAACATGATGGGAGGCAGTTAGGATATCAGGAGCTGTTACATAGATAGCAAGATCATCTGCATATTGTAATATGTCACAGAAAGACGAAATCGAATGTTCAAGGTCATATGTGTAAATATTATAAACAATAGGGCTTAAAACCGAGCCCTGTGGTAGACCCTTCCAAATTTTTCTGGGCGAGCTTAACATTCCTTTATTGCGAATTTTGATAGATCGTCCCATGAACAGATTGTAAATGAAGTGTACAGTCTTAGCAGGGATGTTCAGATGAAGCATTTTCTGCTTGAGCACCGGAAGAAGAACACTGTCATAGGCAGATGATATATCCAGGAAACAACTCACCAAGTATTCATTTCAAGTAAAGGCCAACCTAATATCTATAGTTAGGATACTCAAGCTATCTAATGTGCTTTTCCCTTTACAAAAACCAAATTGACTTTTTGCAAGGATGTTATTATGTTCCAAAAACCATTCAAGTCTGTTTTTAATTTGTTCTAAAATTTTGCAAAAAGTAGATGAAAGTGCAATGGGACGGTATGATGAAGCTTCTTTGGGATCTTTTCCGGGTTTAAGGATAGGTATAACAATTTGGTTTGACCAAGACAGAGGAATATTACAAGATATGTAGATATTGTTCAGGATTTGGAGAAGAATTAATTAACCCTTAAGACTTAATTAACATAAACATGCATAGGGTATCCCATCATTCCTGAAGAAGAGGATTTTAAGCCAGATAACACAGACTGTAGTTCGGACAATGAGAAAATTATCTCATTATTGTTGATGTTAGACGAGACTGGAATGGGTGGGCATATTGCATATTCATTAGGGACAAAAGGAGGGGCTAACATGTCAGAGAAGACTTCTAACCATGGTAGAGAGTTATCAGAAATGTTCCTATCAGAAAGAAGAGAGCCACAATTTTTTTTTATATTTTTCCAAACTATTGTTACTTTTTGGAAAGAAGTCTCTTTGTTTGAGCAGAGGTTGTTTGAAATTGTATAAAATTATCGGTTGTCATACAGTGATTATAAAGCTTTTCTGTAGCTTTTCTCCTTTTAATCATAGTGGTGCATTCAGCACCATGGAGGAGAGGATAGGTTCTTGCTGTAGGGTTTTTTGATTGGGATAAATAAGTCAGCTGCTTCAGTTATATATTGTACCAATAAAAAGAGAAAAGAAAATATTGGGTTGGTGTCAATAGTTGGAGTTGGAGTCAATCTGCATTTGGGCAAATTTAGTATCTAAAAATTTAGTGAAATTAGTCCAATCTGCATCTTGGAGCATATATTTAAGGAGGGGTGTAGTAGAGGGTAAAGGAATAACCGCATAGGGTTTGGTAATAAGAATGGGAAAGTGATCACTTCCATGAGTTTGATTGAGAGTTTTCCAAGAAAGCTGAGGGCCTAGACTATAAGAACATGCTGTTACGTCGACAGCAGACCTAGGGTCTAGTCGTGGGTATACTCTATGAGTGGGGAACCATTGTTGATGATGCAAGCATTAATGACTTCAAAAATTTGTATAAGTTCTGAAGAGTATAAGTCACAAAAATGTGACCCCCAAGATACATGATGTGAATTAAAATCACGGATAATAATAAAAGGGGGAGGAGGAGGAGACGTAGCAGTCTCAAAATAGATACAGAAATCCTTCTGAATCAGTCCCCCTATTTTTTTATGATGAAGGGGATTTTTTCTCATAAAATGGATTTATATTTACATTATAAATGCAAACATAAAAAATATAGATATTTTAGAAATGAATTTTTTGTGAATCGATACATCAGCTTACAATTCGAATCGAAAAAAAAAATCTGAACTTTTTCGGAAAGAATCGACATTCCTACTGACAACGACAATACAAAATGGCGTCAGTTTTACAGTAGCAATTGACACAAATATTGCAAAAATCATTGATTTTCAATAATTTTTTCTCAAAAAGTATGCGTTTCTGCATGATGAAACTTTGCCTGTGTGCTTATAATAATGTATCCTTTCTGTAAAAAAATATCAACCTCCAACTCAATGCGTCAACGGAAATCAACGGACGTCAATGGAAAGCTAGACCGTTTTCTATATTATTTTTAGACAAGCATAAACCTATTTTAATTGGACGAAGTGATAGCCCTATTCTAGGATCTGAAGAAGTCCGGGAGATTTGGACAATAAAAGGGCCTTGATCATTTGGCCCATACATTCTAATTTTTTGATTGAAATTAATTTTTTAATTGATTGAGTGTATTGTTCAAAATAACTATATCTTATAAACATAGTCTACTTACAGCAGAGGAATCTACCACCACAAAAATAAGGAAATTAAGGAAAATTAACCAAATACCGAAAAGCACTCAAAAGTATGTGTTAACCATTCGACCATTGACCTATTTTATTGAAGGAATCATTTGAATATATTAACCCTATTGAGAGACCAGTTTGTCTAAATGCAGACTCAAAAAGTTGAAAAACACCAATTGTGTATTAAGCAATGTTATTAATTACTATAAGTTACAGAATCAACTTACAATTTCACAAGGATCTTCATCTGCTGAAGCAATAAAGAGAGCATGCTTACAAATGATGCCTTCAGCTAAAAAGTATTTAGTTAAAACTCTGCTATAACTGCCCAAAACATCTTCTTCTGTAAAAAATTGAACATTACATTAAAATATTTTCCATTTTCCTTCGAAACATATATTACAGTTCCTTACCAATAGCAAAGAGAGCCCCTGTAGGCAATCCTCCTCCTTGAAGATAACAATTTTACATGTTAGCATAATATAAAAAAAGGTGTATGAAAATAATTTTTCTTATTAATAAACTTGCCAATTATATGATCCAAAGAAGGAATACCAGATGATATAAAGGGTAAATTGTTTTTTAACTTGGTTCCAATAATGCTATATCGAGAATCAGAAGTCTTGTGAAAACTTGACATGTCTAAATTCACTTGTCGTTTTGTATATATTACTACAACCAATATTTATATTATTATTTTGCTTATAAGTAGTAAGTAAATTTATTTTTTCTCAAATTTTCATTTATAAAACAACAGCTATTAAAGTTTCCATAACAATATTTTCTAGGTTAGGTACTTCCCTATATATAATGTACTCTGTGTTAGGTACTGTATTGTATCTCTTTACGGAAACGACTCACTGATACGAATCACTGAAGTGACACAAAAGATTGGTTCAGTAACAACGTTTCAAATGTATCATTTGTATCTGGAACAGTGAAACATTACTTTGCTCTTTGCTTATTTCGGGCGACGCGTCGCTTGCGAGGCGACTGAGCCACGAGCGAGAGAGAGAGACTGAGACAATGATTAACTTAACTATTGACTCACGAGTGGCGAGTGAGCGGGCGAAATAATTATAATCCACACAAGTCAGATAGAGATAACAAATAAGAAGTGTATCCTCAACTCGTACGGATTTTCGCTGACGTTATTCATGCACGTAAAAATTACCATTAAGGCGCTTATATGTCAAATACTATACGGTCGTTTTTTGTATGTAACGTTTGCATTAACAAGTTGACATTTTACGTTGATGCGGCACTTGTCAAATTGTTTATATTCATTAGCGCCTGTTTACGAAAACATACTGAGTTATGTTTAGGATTTCTTTGCGTAGTGATTATTGTGACTTTTACGAGTAAATTCTGTGTACATAGACATTGCTGTTTTGTGTAAATGGACATTTTTGTAAATAATGAATTGACATAGTGACATTTTTGTTAAAGTATGAAGGAGAATCGATTTTATATTCAATCTTATTACGGTACACAATAAATAATCTAAGCACTTATATTATTCAGCATGGTTGCCACATAATATTGCACGGATCAGTCAGTAATAAACGCCCGCGACGCAACTTAATGTACCTATTCGGAACATTCTTTCTTTTATATCTTTTGCGGCGATGATACAAATGAGCCAAATGAAACATATCAGTGTTTCGGAACATTTCAGTGATCAAGATGCAAATGTTCCAATCCCAAAAATGATACACTTTGCCCACCTCCACTGTATTGAGCTTAATTTTTTTTTTTGGAGTTTATGGCCTGGCATCTAGACCTTTAGGCCTACTGAGCATAGATAAATATATATGTAGCAAGCTACTGAGCTTAATCATTGATAAATACCATAGATAAATAAGATAAATACTTTTTATTACTGGCTTTACGGCTCGGGGTTCTAGCCCTTCTGAGATAAATACTCAGCACACAGCACAGATAACAGGACATATATAACTACACAAACTCTCGGGACAGAGTTAAGCTCGCTTTTCACTATGGATAAATATATATTATATCCCGAGATATAAATTATATTCCGCGATTGGCTTTCACACTGTGAGATATATCTTTAAACCCGTGTGCGTTCGTCATTGGATTACATTTATATCGCACTAGTCGTTTACAAACAAAATTGTCTTTCAAACAAAATGGATATTTGCTTGATAGCCTCGACAGTTTATCAGAGGGAAACGATGCAGAATTCGGTTTATGTGTGTGACTTTTAAGTAAAAACAGGGAGCGTCGATACTGGATGTTAAATCATATAAAGTTTAGAGAGGAATATGGTGAATTTAGAACTTTTAATGAATTCTGTTAAGAAATCTTACGAATACATTGCATACATTTGCCGTGTAGTGCCGGTCAAGAATATCCACTACCCCATATCTTCCCGTGGGTGTCGTAAAAGGCGACAAAGGGAAACAGGCAGGAGATGGGCAGCAGCATCTTCCTGATAGTAGCCGAAATTACAATAAAAAAAACTGCGGTTGCCCACCCGCTCGCCAAGCGTGGCAACTATGGCGAATACCCTTCTATGAAGAGAGTAACAAAGAGACGGCCCCCAGTCCCCGGCGGCCCCGCTATTCCTGGCTACGGTGGTGATCATGGTAACGGCGGGGCAGGAGGTGCTAAGAATCTCCGGTGGAGGTTCGGTTGCCACCTTAGACGACTCGACCTGGCAACGTACAACGCACGCACCCTGAGGACTGACGAGAAAATCGTGGACCTGGAAGAAGAGATAGACAAGTTACTCTGGCATATTATAGGATTATCCGAAGTCCGAAGAGAGGGGGAGGATACGGTAATCCTCGAATCCGGCAACTTGCTCTATCACCGGGAGGACCATCTGTCCCAAGGAGGTGTCGGATTTATTGTCTGTGTCGACGAGGGTTGCGTACCTTATACTCAGAATCACCAAAAGGTATTCGCTGAAGGTCATACAGGTTTACGCACCAACCTCGGCACACCCCGATGAGGAGGTGGAGGAAATGTATGAGGATATCTCTAGAGCCATGCATTCCTCCAAAACCCAATATACGGTGTTAATGGGAGACTTCAATGCAAAACTAGGCACAAGAGAGAACGGTGAGCTGAAAGTACAGAAATTTGGAATAGGGCAACGGAACCCAAGGGGCCAACAGCTAGCCGACTTCATGGAGAAAGAGGGACTCTTTATGATGAACTCTTTCTTCCAGAAGCGGCCCCACAAGAACTGGACCTGGTCGAGCCCCGACGGTTCGAACGATCCAAGAGCGAGTCTTATCCGACACTATTCCGAAGATATCCAGGACGTCAGTCTGAGCGAGATAAGAATGGCTCTCCAGCATCTTAAAGACGGCAAGGCCCCAGGCGAGGATGGAATTACAGCGGAGCTTCTGAAAACGGGTGAAAAACCGGTACTTGAAGTCCTTCAGAAGCTCTTTAATTCCGTCCTCCATGGTGGCATTACACCGGAGGCGTGGAGCAGAAGTGCGGTGGTCTTGTTCTTCAAGAAAGGCGACAACGCTTTCTTGAAGAACTACAGACCGATTTCCCTTCTGAGCCGCGTCTACGTGCTGTTTTCGAGAGCCTTCCAGCCTCCCGAACAAGCCGGTTTCCGAAAAGGCTTTAGCACTATAGACCACATACATACCCTTCGGCAAGTTGTACAGAAATTCGAGGAGTACAATTTGCCACTATGCCTGGCGTATGTGGACTATGAGAAAGCCTTTGATTCCGTCGAAATTTGGGCGGTGCTGTAGTCCCTTCAGCGGTGCCAAGTTGACTGTCGGTATATCGAAGTGCTGAAGTGCTTGTACAGTAGGGCTACGATGGCTATCCGAGTACAGAACCAGAGTACGAAACCTATCCAATTGCAGAGAAGTGTAAGACAGGATGATCCCCGAAACTTCACCGCTGCATTGGAAGACGTTTTCAAGCTTCTGGACTGGAAAGGATACGGTATTAACATCAATGGCGAGTACATCACACACGTTCGATTTGCCGACAATATAGTCCTTATGGCAGAATCGCTGGAGGATATAAGCACCATGCTCAATGACCTCAATAGTGTCTCCCAACAGATAGTTCTTAAGATGAACATGGACAAAACAAAGATCATGTTCAATGTCCATGTCACACCTATGCCAGTAATTGTTGGGAGCACTAAGCTAGAAGTTGTTGACGAGTATGTTTACCTGGGACAAATAGTCCGACTAGGTAAGTCCAACTTCGACCGAGAGGTCAATCGACGGATTCAACTCGGCTGGGCAGCGTTCGGGAAACTACGACACATCTTCTCGTCAGACATTCCTCAAAACCTTAAAACGAAATCATACAACCAGTGCGTGTTGCCAGTGATGACTTACGGATCTGAGACGTGGTCCTTCACTGCTGGCCGTATGAGGAAGCTCAAGGTCACTCAGCGAGCTATGGAGAAGGCTATGCTCGGAGTTTCTCTGCGTGATAAACTTAGAAATGATGATGTGCGTAGTAGAACCAGAGGGACCAACATAGCCCAACGGATTAGTTAAATGAAGTGGCAGTGGGCCGGCCATGTAGCTCGAAGAACCGACAACCGATGGGGAAGAAAGGTTCTTGAGTGGCAGCCTCGTACCGGTAGGTGAATTGTAGGGCGACCCCCCACGAGATGGAGGGACGACCTGGTAAGATATGCAGGAAGTCGATGGATGCAGGTGGCTCAGGATCGTGCTTTATGGCATTCCTTGGGGGAGGCCTATATTCAGCAGTGGACTTATGAAAGGCTGTAATGATGATGATGATAATGATACGCACTACGCAAAAGTTCATTCAGACGGTGTGCAGGGTACAGGGGGCGAAATATAATATAATAATATCGCTCAGTCAATCGAAAAAATATTTATAGTATCAGAGGTAATATTTATATTACATCTCAGTGTAAACAGTTCCATTAAAAATTTCGGTGAGCGATATTAATTTATATTTCGAGATATAATACATATTATTTTATATCCCATAGTGAAAAGCGGGTCTTCTTCTTCTAAAGGTGGCTACTGACCTGCCTGCCTGCCGCAGGGGCAATCTAGGAAGTACCGCGATCGGAGCAATATCGGAGCTGTCTCTACACACACGCCTGCCGTTCAGTATGAGAGTGTACGTCTCGCTGGACGCAGGCGTTGAAAATGGCGCCAGTTTTATCGAAATATCAATGAATCAGTGTATATAGCCTTGGCTCTTTTTTATATAGAATAAGGGTGACAAATGAGCACAGTCCACTTGATGGTAAGTGGACGCTGTGGCGTATAGACACCCACATTTATCAATAAAACAACCAATTAATTAATAATTACAACCATAATATAGTGCTCAGAATTTGCAGCATAGCTCTGCCACGCTATTTTTAGGCTATCAAAGACAATTAAATATGACTAACTTTACCCGTCATAATTTAAGTTAAGTAATTAAGTAAAATAAAGTTAAGTTATATCACAGAACAAATTTGTTATATACTAACTAGTGCTTAGTAACTATAATTTAACTAGTGTTACAAATAGCCAAGATAGTTTTCTAATGATGGTTTTAATAAAATTTATTTACTAAAGTTTTTTTTTGTTTAAATATTTATTTAATGACATTTTATTTATATTCCAGCAATTTTAATATTATTGGAATATT